GGTTGTTTGAGAATAATTAGTTGATCTATATATTGTCATAAGAGTAGGCTAAAAAAAAAAAAATTGTCAACTAAGAAACCTCTGGATTCGGTGCTGGGTTTGGTGATGGTCTTAAAAAACAAAAATGTCAACTAAGAAACCTCTGGATTCGGTGCTGGGTTTCGTGACAGTTTAATTGATAAATTCAAGCTGATCCTTAATATAAAATTTTAATTTACTTTATCACATGTATTTATTCATTTTGCCTAACTCTTGTGGTTATTAATCATGTTAAGGGTTTCTATTAAAAATAGTTTCAATGCATATAATTAAAAAAAGTATTTTGGAAAAAAAATAATACTCATTTATTATAAATAATTAACTTAAATATTTTTATTATTATTCAGAAGTTAGTTGTTTAGTTTTTATATTAAGAGATAGTAGTGTTTGCTAATTCATAAACTAAAATGCAATTTCGTGATGCAAAGCCAAACGGAGGAGGGTCAACGTGACGTACGTGAAAAGCTTCAAGCATTTAGGAATTAATCAATTGATTTTCCAATTTTGACAACTGAAGCTTCAGTGTTTACAACTAAACTTACGATATTTACAAAGCTTTTACAATTTATAATACATTCGCGACTGCATATTATTTTTATCTTTTACAATTGAGTTTTCGGAAACCTTACAACATATTCAAAACTGATCTACCAATTTTTACAACTTACATATTTTGAAATGAATATATTTCCCCTCTTTATAAGACATTTTTATCCATTTCCATTTTTATTTTTAACCTTAGTCCTTCTTCCTTGTTCCATAAATTTACGATCTTTCAATGTCATTTTTTTCCTGATCAGGTGATTCTTTTGCATCATTTTCCCTAGAAAATATTGTAATGATATTATAAACAACTAAGATGACAAAACCATTCTATATCTAATAGTCACTTAACTAACAATCCATATTAAAACAGAGTTCGTCTCCAATTGAGGGTAGTTTTCTCAAAGTAGTTTTCCAACTTCATGTGAACTTGAACTTAAAATCTTATATTTTAACAATAATATGCTCTTTCATAACTAAAATCAAGGTTTCTTGGAGAAGGAGGAATATTATAATTAAGTAATATTATATTGTTATGTTCCAATTTCGGATGGGCCAATATTGTTTTGATGGTGAATCCTAATACATACACGCACACAGACACACTTATTTGTATTTATATGTTGCTTGAAGCAGCACAATAACACACATCTGATTCATGGTGCAAGGGATTGACAAAAACCTTTGAATCTTCATCCATGTAAATAATATAATATATTAATTGAACAAATATTTGCACGACTCTTGCATTCAAATAAGTGATATAATTCACCCACCCGCCAAATAATTAATCTCAATCAGCTATTCAAAAATTAATCTCGATCAATCATATAACAATTTACGCTACCCCATTTGTATTCAATTAGAAATAATGTATTATATAATATGCCTTATTTAATTATTCTATCTGTCTTCCTGTTAGCTCAGAGGGACATTCCAAAGGAAAATGAAGAAAAGAATATTGTTCAGTTTCTCCAACAAAATAGCACAATAATTTTGATGAAAGGTTGATTATCCACGTCAAAATAAGAGGGATTAATAATTGAAACTAAATTGCTTAATTATGACCTCCAACAATTTGGTATATAATTATGATCTGATTAGGACATGGCCTAGATAAGTTTCAATTAATTTGTCTCTCTGGTTCAATTAAAGACTAATGATTACATCAAAATGTAGTTTTTCATTTCTCCAAAAAATTAGCTTGTTAGGATTAGGACCTAGGCTTGAGCTACCTAAATTACCCATAGTAAGCCACGACATATGTACAAGCATGCATGTGCACTTCCTCCGGTCCTTATTATAAGTTATTTTAGACTACTTCATCTTCAATTGGACGAATTAAGGACGAATGATTAAATCATTAATTTTGTTTGAAATGAAATATATTCTTGATTTTACTTACATTCAAATAGAGAATTTTTATATTTGTATAACATTCTCCCCATAGTTAATCACTTCAAATATGGGTGATATTGAAAAAAAAAACCTAATTAACATTTATAAGAGTTAAAGTGCATCTAGCAGCTAAAATATTTTTTCCAATAGCATTTAATATCTTAAAATAATTGATTAAAAAATTAAGATTGTTTAGATTAGATATAGATCATCCAAAGGAGATGAGCTTTGGGTGTTCATTTCTTACATGAGCAATGAGCACTCAAACTAAATCCAAACTCATGAGATCTTGCAAGCATGAAAAATCAGGATAATATACTTTTGTTTTAAGTATTTTTAGTTTTTCAATACAAATATAACACTATAGGATATTTTTCATGAGTAGAAACTATTCTTCGATGGTCAAACTATGTACTAGTAATATTTTTACCCAATTATTTTCCCGTTTTTACTTTTGTTAGTATATTTGCTGCTTTTTTTTTTTTTTTTGCCCCCGGGTGGTCGGAATTATTGGTCTGTGAAGAGCCCAAGAAGTTTGGGGCCCTTATTCGGAGCTAAGTCTACTGGCCCATACCGTACAAAACTAGAAGGTAGCCCAGGTAATTCAGTGTCCATTTGGTTTAAAGAATCATACAAAACGCAACGGAATAATGATTGCAAAGTATCTGTTTGGTATCTCACCAAAAAAAACAAAAGTATCTGTTTGGTATGCCATCGTAAAATCAATGAGAGAAATTAATGTTTTGTGTAAAAAATAAAAATAAAATTTGAATGATCTTTTACTCAATCAAGGCTAAAAATGGAAGTATAAATGTATAAATATTATTGGTGGAGGATATAAATGTTCATACGTTGATTTATATAAGCTGAAATCCAGATTACATAATCAAAGTTGTGTAATGAGATTAATTGACTTGTTGTAATTCATTGTAATTAAGATTACAATGTACTACTTTACTGTGCCAATTAAACCCCTGAAATCAACAGAGTGCATCAAGGTTATCCTAATCCTGATGCATGGAATTGAGCCGAACATATTGACCTTAATCCTTGTGCAGGCCGGAATCCATCATATTCTCATTGGACTGTTCGAACTATTTGCAGAAAGAAGAGATGAGATATTATGTATAGGCAATTAGAGAGAAAATTAGGGGGAAAATAATATCCTATGATTCTACTCCATATGCTGCCCCTATAAATCTAGAATACTTACACCTAACAAAAACAAGTAAATCTTTTATTAAACGCTCGGTCAACCCACAGAAGGCTATATGAAATTTTCAGACAATGCTATATCCATAGCTGCAAATGCCCCCTGCTCCCTAACTGTTCCTCCTAACCTTGCAATTTTCTTTCAATTTATTTTTGGATAGCAAACATAATTTTCCATCATGCTATATATGTGTGCGCGCGCATGTTGACCTAGAAAATTTTACTCAACTGTAGTACTCCTCTCGTCCTATTTATAAGGCACTTCCAACCTGTTTCACATAGACCAAGGAAAACCTTAAATTGCATTAACTCTTCATTAAAATATAGTAACTTTCCAACTTTACCCCTATTTAATATATACACATTTTTTAAAAAAAAAACTACCTATACTATAATAAATGAAGGATAATATAGTACATTCTTAGTAAAAATTTAATGAAGTGACTTATAAATAGGACAAAAAAAAAACATTCTCTCTCTGCCCTATAAATAGGACCAGAGGAGTATATCCTAAGTATTGTATTATGAACCACTCGAACCTTATGACTTTCTTAGCATATAATCAATTTATGGCCTGTGAAGAAAAAGTTGCATGATTAAGTATATAACCAAATCAGAGTATATACTAATATAAGCCATCCTCAGTGATAGCCAAGCCTATCTTTATTACAGAGGAGACAAGGTATGAGTAAATGAGGAGTTTGGAGCAAAGGAGATTCAGCATCCCGGTACTGCATTAGAGTGACATACTCCAAAGCGCAAGCCATGTTAAATGCAAAGAATCATGAATGAGAACTAACAGATCCTTGATTATGGGATCTGCTGAATCATTGAATAGCTCACAGTGAATGAAGGTCCCAGATTGGATACGTTGGTGGCTTTGGAGTATTGGATTGGTTTGTTCTGTTTCCCACCAACCAACCCCAAAAAAGTTGACCCCTCCACATTTAATCCCATCAACCACCTTCATTTATTTCTTCTGCTCATCCCTTCAATTTCTGTCAGACACACACACAACAATTTGATCCTCCATTTTCTTAATTTGATCCTCTAGCTATGGTTATTAACACTTAATAACGTTAGATTAGTATGATCCCAGAATATTTTATTACTAAAACATGTCAGGATCAAATATTGCATCACTCATCTCAGACATAGTTATAGTCCTATGTTGATTTGAATTTAGTCTTCTATCATAACAGTTACTATCAGACATACAAAATTTGACACCTGCTTCATCTCGAGTCTCTGGCCAGTAAATCATCTACTTTTGTTAACTATTTTGTTACACAATTTAATGAGAAAACGACCCAAATTTAAAGATCACATGTAGTTTTTACTTTTGTTTTTCTTATTCCAGGTCATATCATCTGTTCACTTTTATGATGAAAAATATATGAGATAATTTTATTTGGATGTTGCAGGCGCTTCAGACCAAAAAAGGGTACTGTTACTCTGAGCTTCTGGACCACCATATATAGTGATCCTCTTTTAGATTGATTTGAGAGAGAGGGAGATTTGCTTTGCTTGTATTGAAAGTTAAGCAATCGAAGCTGGAGGCAGAAAGAGAGAGAAAAGCAGTCCATTCTCGGCCTCTGAGAAGTCCAGTGAGATTTCAAATGAAGGTGAGGCTGGCTGGAGGTGACAAAACCAGAACCATACTTGCTTGTGCTGCATAATCTCAAACCCAAGAACATTTTGGAACCTAGCTAGCTCACTGGGAGCTTCTCAATTACTCTACCTTGTGATCTGTAATTGACCCAAGCAAAGAAACCCTTCCTCTCTCGCACACATTTCCACCATCTTCATCACCAGTTTCATCATTTGAGCTTCTGATAAACCATGAAGGGCAAACTCTGTTTCCTCATGCTAACTCTGCAAATTCTTGTTTGGGTTTCTGAAGCAACGAGATCATTCCCACAAACTGATGCTATTTCTTATCCAGGTACATTCATTATACTGGTTTCACTCTGACGAATATTACATGAATGTAGACATTACTCTTTCGAAGGGAAAAATTAAGCTGTTACATTTCTTCAAACAGCTTACCCACCACATTAGAATGAAATCCTTATATATTTTCCTGCATTGAGATTCTCAACAAAAATTCATTCACAAACATATATCAGCTTGTGTTCAATCTGTGCCAGGCCCGCAAGAGGCTCCACAGTCATCACCATACAAAACATCAGAACCAACAAACAAGGTATAATATGCATGTGTGTTCAGTGTTCTTCTTCTCTTCTTCCTGGATGTTTAAAAGACTAACACAATATTCAAATAATGTATCTGTAATATTTTTTATTTGCTGAAGGGTATGACAGAGACAATGCTTAAAGAAGAAGAAGAAGAAGAGTATGAAAGAAGAGGGGCTGGGAATGTGGGGTCAAGCCCACCAAGATGTGAACACAAATGCTATGGATGCACACCATGTGAAGCCATTCAAGTGCCAAGCATTAGCAGAAGAAGCCATTTGGCTATTCAATATGCAAACTATGAGCCTGAGAGCTGGAAATGCAAGTGTGGTCCTTCCTTCTACAGCCCTTGAATAATGAAATATTATATTATTGTCATGTTCATACTCAGCCTATGTTAATGTTAATACAATCTAGTTCATTGATTTGATCATTTATAGTATGATGTGAGCAAGTAAATGTTTGTTGAATCCATAATCCATCTAAGAACTCTGCTATTTAGCAGAATATTTTTAATTAATACCAGATTAAATCACCCCACCCCCTTTCGGTGAATAAACTGTGATACTTTTAAGTTTTTTTTTGCCAAAGACCCTTTAAATAGTTATATAGACACGATTTGAAGTTAAAAAAATATTGATAAATAGCTCAAAATTTTAAAAGTATTATTTGCACAAAAGAAATATAATATCATTCCTTGTTATATTATATTTCCGTACTTAAAAGTATATATTTAAGTTGTTTATTATACAAAATTAGAATGAGTGAATATTTATATTTAAAAATATTTTTAAATATTTTATTAGTGAAATAATATGTTAATGATCAAAAAAATGATTTATCCCCCGAAATTCAAAGGTTTCAGTTTATAATAGAATTGTAAAATTAATATCTCATGGATGACTATGTCCTAAAACTCTCAGTTGTGGTTTTCAAAACTTTAGTCAAGTAGAAGAATCAGGCCCAAGAAAAGAAAAGAAAAGGTCAAGTAAGAAAGAAAGGCTTTACGAAAGGAAATCAATGCAATTGAGCCCAAATGGAACAAGAACTCTTCCATAACCATGTGATCTACCCAAGAAGCTTTTTGAGGTAGTGCCCTAACAATAAAGATGATTATTATTATTGTTATTATTATTATTGCTGTTATAAGCTATTAAGTTGGATATAATTTTAAAAATTGTCCCATTTAGAGTTTGATATAATTTTTCACCATGCCTAGTTGGAATTCATGATTTTGAATATGTGTAGAATCTATGTATTTAATCAATTTAAAATGTTTATTGTTAAAATTTAATAAATTACAATATCTTTTTAATTTAATGAAAATGAAATCCCTTTCTAAGATGATACTTGGACAACATTTTTCTTCAGCGATATTATTTATAACCTAAGTCATTTGGTTGGCAAAAAAAATGCAATTCCTTTTTTCATTGGCCAAAAATAATGCAGTTCATTTGAGACTCTAGAAAATGTCTAATTTGATTTGCTCATATTTTTCTTTCTGTATAAATCCTTTTTTAAAATCTTATTTACTTGCTTTCGTCCAATTACAAAATTGTCCTTCACTTTTGGGAAGGAAACTGTCCTCAATTCCGCCCGATCACAGATCTGCGCAGTCCAAGCTTCTGCGACTCCTCTCCTCTTCTCTCCTCAGAAATGGCGTCTCAGGTAAGTCTCTCTTGAGTCTTCTAACTTCTGCATCCCATCTTTCCGAGTATTTTCATAGCAGTAATCTTGATCTGACCACAAATCGCAATGCAGTAGCTGAACAGTACTCAATAGTTCTGACAAAGGTCTAGCAAAAAAAGCAAACTCTAGGGATCTGCTGTTGAAGTATTTGATATTAGAATGGATCTTGGAATTATAAAAATTTGTTGATTCTGGGATTTGATTTTAATGTTATCGATGTTCTGTTGATAGTGTTTTTGTTGTGGACTAAAACGACTGGTTGGATCTGTAATATGCTTGAGTTTTTGTTTATTTAATTTTTTTGGGAAGTTGGTCTAAATCTGGGATAACTTCTTGCTCTTTCGGATCCGTTTAGAACACTATTTTTCTCACTTCTGAGTTCTGACAGCCATTAAATTCGCTTCCACAGCTAATAGAATTGCAGTTAGGGTGTGAATGTTTATCGTTGGCTAATAAACTCAACCAAGGTGTCTTCAATTTCTAGATCTGTTACTGTTTAGTTATCGTTTTCTAAGTATGACCCCTTGGCAACTTCTTGTGAGGGACGCTGTCACTAGAGAACAGATCCATTTTCTGTTGAGGTATACCAAATTTTGCTGGTTAATGGTAATTGGACGCCTGACCTTATACTTTAGTTGAATGGGGATGGCTTGCATCTAGCTGAATTGAGCTTGTTTGTGTTGTTTGCATATAGTCACACCATATTTCACCTTTGAACGTTGAAATATAAGAATCTATAGAGTGTATATTTTTAATGTTTTTTGAGTTTCCTTTCCCTTTCTTCACCAGAGAAATGATACATATTTTATAACTTGGGTTGGCGTGTCTTGTCATATGTAGGGCTTATGTCCATCAGTAAAGAACATTCTTCTTCTAGATTCTGAAGGGAAGCGTGTAGCAGTCAAGTACTATTCAGATGACTGGCCAACAAACAATGCAAAATTAGCTTTTGAGAAGTTAGTGTTCAATAAGACCGTGAAGACAAATGCTCGAACAGAAGGTATGCAGCACAGAGGTTTTTACTGATGGACAGAAACTAATCATTATATGAAGTGATATGATTTTTTTTTTTTTGGAAGTTTCATATTATTCATGCATATCTTCAAAACCTCTATTATGAATCAAGTATTTATGCTCATTTGAAATTAAGCTGTAGCGTTGGGCCATGACTTAATAACAAATTGCGCTGTCATTGCCAATTCTTGACTTGATCTGTAGTTATGTTTATTGGGATTCATTATTCAGTTATGACTGATATGCTGTTTACTATTATCTGCAGCTGAGGTCACATTAATTGAGAATAATGTCGTTATATACAAGTTTGTACAAGACTTGCATTTCTTTGTCACCGGTGGTGATGATGAAAACGAGCTCATTTTGGCTTCAGTTCTTCAGGGTTTCTTTGATGCAGTCACCTATTTGTTGAGGTATTATAGGTTATATTTTGCTTTCAACAATTGAAATATGAGTGCCCTGTTGCTCATGTTATTCAAGATTTAAAATGAGCTCTTTTTAAAACTTCAAATTTCAGGAGCAACGTTGACAAAAGGGAGGCGCTTGAGAACTTGGATCTAATTCTTTTATGTCTTGATGAGATTGTTGATGGAGGGTATGCTTGTGTTTCTTAGTTAGAATTTTTCGTTCTCATTAAAATTCTAATTATTTTCTGATTACTCTGTTACCGCCTTCCTTTAAGGATGATACTTGAAACAAATGGATCTATTATTGCCGAAAAGGTGACCTCTCATAGCATTGATGCTGACGCCCCGTTATCTGAGCAGGTGATGTGACTGCAGTTTAGTTTTTGTCCTTGCTTCCTATTTCATTTTACTCCGCAAAGTCACATGAGTCGCCATATAGACTGGAGGTTGCTAAATTATTACGCTTTGGTGTTCTGCAATTCTCAAACTGCCTCTTTTTTTTTTTTTTAAATTGAATTCACATTTTGGCGAGCTATGTTTCATTGTGCACTGGTCATTTTTGACTTTTGATGTGCTGAAAAATCTTGGATGTTGATGACTGGATATCTTTGATCTTCAATGTAATGGTGAGATTCTGATATTGCAGACGTTAACTCAAGCATGGGCTACAGCTAGAGAACATTTGACAAGAACCCTTCTGAAATGATGTTTACAAGAACAGGAATGGGTTCATCCATATTTGGATTGTCTTAGTTTTCCTTTGTCAGCGACAGTGATTTTGTCCTTCAATTTGTTGAGCTCGAGACTGGAGGATCATACCATTCCGGCCACTCCACTAATCGAGGATTCTTGAGAAGTGATTTATTACTTTTCTCGAAAATATGTTTAAAATTATGGGCTTGCTACATATTGGTTGACCTTGACGACATATATATCTGAGACGTATAATCAATTTTATAATGAAAGAAACCGGGTTCGTCATTGCATACCAGTTTAACGGATTCCACGTGGCAATTTTACTTCTTCTTTGTAGTCTTTGATTGAGGGGGTGTTTGGATGAAGCCAAACCATGGTTTGGAGAATAGCTTCTAGAGAATAGATTTTGGAGAGAATAGATTTTGGAGAGAATAGATTTTGAAAGAATAGCTTTTCTGAAAAAGTGATTCTGATAAAGTGAGAGTGTTTGGATAGTTGTTGTCAGAAGTACTTTTTTATATGTAGAAATTACTAAAAAGGATATAAGTTTAAATGATAATTACATATAAGATATATTTCATAATATATGTTTATTTGAAGTAAATAAATAATATTAATACAAAAATTAATACGTATATATATTAATAAAATAAATAAATATGTTTTTTTTCAAAATGATTTAATAAAATAATTAAATATGTATATATATTAATAAATAATATATATTAATAAAATAATTAAAATTAAAACGTATATATATTAACAAAATAAGTAAATATGTTTTTTGTAAAATATATTATTTAACCTCACCCTCACATACCTCGGTCACTCCCTCCCTTGATCGGCGATTCCTCGTGCCTCCCTCCCCAAGCACACAAAAACCACCAGCCTTTGCCTTCGTCTCCGTCAGTCGAGTACTCGACGCTCGACACTCATCGCCCCAAAGCCCCTACCTCTCTCAACGCCTGTGCTCTCTCCTCTCTCATTGGCGTTGCCTCCGTTAGTCCTGTCTTGGCGTCTCATCTGGTTGAAGCGAAGCCAGGAGGCTGGCTCTCTCCTCTCTCGTCTCGTTGAAGCGAAGACAGGAGGCTGGAGAGTGAAGGACCGAAGAGCTCTGTTTTCTTCAGAGTGAAGCACGGAGAGTGAAGGACCGAAGAGCTTGTGCCTCCTTCTAAGCGAAGCACCGAGAGTGAAGGCGTAGGACGGAGCTCGGTCGAGTGAAGGAGGAAGGAGGAAATAACTGATTCTTTTGTGTAATATTCCTGGGCCCACCAACAGTCAATTATTTGAAGCAGGCAAAAGCAACCCTCCGTCTCATTATCCGAAACCAAGGTTTTGGGGGACAAAACCATGGTTTCCCCAAAAACCATGGTTTCAGTTTTTTGAGGGGTGTTTGGCAAAAAATTTTTCCAAACCATGGTTTGGGAGGGGAGCCAAACACCCCCTGAATATAATATTCTATTATGACGCATATGCCCTAAATTTGTACCAAAGACTTCTAATTTGATTATGGAGTATGTGAAGCTAAAATATTTCAACATTGATATGTGATGGCAAATGCTAAGAAAGCAGTTAATATCTAAAGGATGTGCACGTTACATGATCTGTGCCTGGAGAAGAATAAAACTAGTGATATTTAATTGTGGTCCAATATGATTTCGTGATGCTGGTTTTAACAAAAGGAAGCGTATAGACTTTCATTTATTTTGCCGCTTCATTCGTAGTTAGGGAATGGAAGAATACTGTTAGTTTTGGATTCTTTTTTTGTTGTTGTTTGTTTTGGTTCCCGAGAGGGTGAGGACATGAAATGCAAGTCTGTTAAATGGAGGTCCATATCCTTACCATAAACGAATAGTGATTGGCCTTGAATGAAAAATATCGAAAAATCGTTCATCCACTTAGCCTCGACGTCCCAAATACAAAATGTAAACTTATTGGAGACCAACTGAAATATGCGGTGTTTAGGTTTCATGCACTTACTGTTACTATCTCTGGTTAATATAAGATTTAGTTTGTCATTCAATTTGGTTCTAAATATAAACTTCAATTAACTTTGCTTCTCATATTTATTTATTTTTCTCAAGATAGTTCTTATAGTAGTTACACATATAGAATGTTTCGTCGAATGATGTATGATTAGCAAGAGTATTTTAGTAAAGATAACACATACTGCTTCCGGTCCTTAATATAAAAGTTCATTTGACTTTTATTTTGATCCAAATTACAAAAACTCAATTCATTTTGGCTCTCATATTTATCTATTTTTTCAAGGTAATCTTTGTAATAATAGTAATTTTAGCCAATATTCTTGATTAACAAGGATATTTCAAAAAAGACAACACATATTTATTATAAATAATTAACTTAACTAGTTATCTTAATTTACTTAAATTAGTCTACTAGCTCTAATATTAAGAATCAGGTAGTATTATTTTGGTTAATAGTTTATAAAACTGCTTCGCAGCTACTGTCAAGAGCTGACTCTTGTCTAAGTTAAGTAAATCAAGATCCATTAGGAATCGTCCCAAGGCTGGAAAGGTAAGATTGAAGAATCTTTTCTTTTGGGTGTCGCTTTGGGCATTATTTATAAAGGGGCGAGTGAGAGAGAAAGAAATAGCGAAAAAAAAACAGAGAATGTATGTAAAAAAAAAAACAACAGATAATAGAATTAATTAGGAGTAAAATTTGTTTAAAAAAACATTTTAATATTCATACAACCCCAAGCTGGATCATATCAAACCAATTCAAAAATTAAAACATGAGGGAGTACTAATCATATTAATTGATTAATTACTTTCCCACACATAACAATGTAGTATAACTTGCAATCCACATGACAAACAGGAATTTAAAATTGACAACAATCGCACGTACCACGTGCATTTCATAAAATACCTCCGAATAGAATATCTCAGGCTACGTTCTCCGGTATGTTATTGAGCATTTAATAAATATGACCGACTTTTAATGAAATGCAAGACACAGTAATTATTTGCTTGTGGTCTCTTCCCATTTTCCATATTGCTTTAATAATTGGACATCACAATCAGTGTCTCTTATACATCAATATCTGCAATTTAAATTAATAACAACTTGAAGATCATTTTCAAATTACAAAGTCACGCCCAAACATTCTTGTTTCAGTACAAAACTTTCTAAATGCAGAGAGAAAACGAAAGCAAGCATAACAAAGTGAAGAAAGAAATTATTTTGAAAGAAAACAGAAGAATCTCCAACTCATGGGACTTAACCATCTTAATGTCAAACATCAATTTTCTTTTGTCTCCAACAACAGTATGAATACATTTTCCTATTAAGCAGCAGCATCCGCGCTTTTTACTGTCACCTTTTCTTGGCCGAGAATGATGACCGAATACATATATTATGTCAAACTGCAAAGAGGGGAGAACATAATAATATTAGTTAATGAAAATTTTTTTGGGTATAATATTAGTTAATACATTCTACCTCCGGTCTTTAATATAAAACCTCGTTTGACTTTTATTTTTATCCTAAATATAAGACTCCAATCTATTTTGCCTATCATATTTATCTTTTTTTTTTTTCCAAGATAGTCATTTTAATAATAATAGTTCTAACTAATAAATTTGATTAGTAAAGATATTTTAAGAAAGACAATACTTATTTATTACAAATAACTAATTTAACTTATTTTTTGAATTTACTCAGATTAGTCAAGTAGCTCTTATATTTAGGACAGGAGCTAATATTAATGATTGAATATAGGGTTTGCATCAGAAAGAAAGATATGTAACTAAAAATCAATTCAAGAATTTAATTTTCTTGGTTAATTACCTTCAAATCTCGGCTCGCTGCAATCAGCACATTACCCATTATCAGTACTTGGTTATGAATTCCAGAGGAGATAAAAGCTTTACTGCTTCACCACAGTTTACACCTACGAATACAAGTGGCTAAATCATGAAGACTCTTAGCCTCCGCTGACTGTTGCAGAAGTCGAACTCTCTTATAAATAGACAGAAATCCGGCAAAGTAGGAGTTGTGAAAAATAGTTTCGTTTTTCAATAGAACAAAATTACAAGAAGATAAATCATTTTCATCCTAAACAAAATCATCTTAACATTTGGTTGGTTATTTCACTTCACCAACATACGCTTTTAATCACGGTATCCAATGAAACTAAGCTATACATACCAAGCTTCCTATTATGTTATGCTTTACTGGAATTCTACATCAAGAAACATATCAGCGTAGTTGTTTGAGATGACACGTACTTATTGTAAGAAGTCAAGAAAGTAAAAGCCTAATTTTGGAAAAAATTGGATATAAACACATTAATAGAATTAAATATACTGCAAATAACACATTTTTATTTAAAAGCATCTTCTATACTTGCCTAGGGCAGCTATGGTAAAACAATTTCAAACTTAATTGATGAACTGTAAAAGAGAGACACATACCGATCAAGTAATGCATTGCTCTGTAGATTCTAAGTTCAATTGGGACAGCATAAGTAGCAAGTAATCAGCATAATGAGATGTCATGGACTTAGAATTCAGGGGAATAGATTGAATGATATCTATGAGTCCTTCAATTTCTTTGTTGAAGGGAGTTGATATTGGTCATCATCAATATTTTGATGCCTCCTTTTTGGCATGCTTACCTCCAATTTCTTCTGTTGGAGGAAGTTTGTGTACTCTGAGACATATATTGGCCGAACTCCACATTCTTTGATCAAGCTATAAGACCCCCATTCTTTGGCGTCGACATCAACAAACTTAAATTTAAATTCAAGCTCCTCATTATAACCTTTTCCCTTTCTTCGCTGTTTGTGTAGTATGCGTTCACAATAGAGGGGATCATACCATAGAAACACTTTATCATATGAATTCAATTTTTCCATTGAATAGTGCCATCCTGTTGGACCTTGCAAAAAGAAGAGAGAATTTTCCACGTCATGCCAGGTGCATTGACATGATGAGTGACATTGATCCCTTTCTTTTGAGGAGAAATGAGGTATGACAAAGCAGAAAATGAAACCAATTAAGTTTTCAAAATCTGGAGCAAGCTGAACACTCACACGCAAATCTCCATACTTTGTCACTGAATTTTTGTAAGTAAACCACTCTGGAATAGTACTTCCTCCAAAATTGCCACATTCTCCTTGCTTCAATGCGAATCTAACATATTGGATCATTTCATGAAATGAATTCTCATCAGCATAATGACAGGACTCTTTTTGGGCACCCAAGTTTGGCTCCCGTCCCATTCGTTGAATGAAGTCGTGATATTTGGAGGCATATATTGGGCAGACTCCACATGCTTCAATCATACAATCAACATGCTTCTTTCCAAATCTATCAACAAAGAATTCAAATGACAACTTTGGCTTGTAATTAGCATTTTGGTTGTCCATTGCTTTATGGAAGTTTATGAATGGGTGAGGTTCACACCATAGAAAAACATGATGTGATTCCGAATTTTCACCTCTGTAAAATTCAAACTTAGAGCATTTGCACTGCTTACCATCATAATAAAGTTGGCATTGCAAGTCAGCGTGAGAGGGATGCTGAGAAAGAATAGAGCAAAAAACGAAGCCGATTAGGTCGTTTGTGGTTGAAGGAGATTCAATAGTTATATAGTTGGAAGCCTCTGTTCTCTGATTAGATCCAAACCACTTTGGAACTTTTCTTCCAGGGTAACAGACACCACCTATTTGTTGTGTGTACGCTAATCGATTCAATGAGAAATAAGCACTTTCCTTAACATGAGACAAAAAGCAGTTCTCCAATTTCAAGCAATCTAACAGAAATAGGGACCCTAATTGTGGTGCAAAAGGTATCGAAATTGCTACAGTCTCCAATGATATGCAACCATGAGCGAAGACGGTTTCGATGGATGGCGGCAGTTCTGGCAGAGAACGAAGTTTTGTACAATTGACCAAGTATATTGTTTCTAGATTTGAAAGATACTTGATATTGGCAGGCAAGCTCTCTACACTACTTACACTCAGATACAATGAAGACAATGAAGACAAGGAGCCAATGTTTTCAGGGAGTTCATACAACTGCTTACAACCAACAAGAGTAAGCTCTCGAAGATTTTGGAGATAACTAACTGAGGAACGGAGCGTTGAACTTGAACCCAAAATTATTTCATCTACCAACAAGGGAGATTCTGTATGAGAAGTGAACTGCAGCGTCTTTAATGATGTGCATCGGTAGGCGCATAATTCTTCAATGGATGGAGGAAGCTCCGGTAAAGATTGAAGGTCCCTGCAATAGCTTACATCAAGAGATTGTAGCCTCGAGAGATGCTTGATATTGTTTGGAAGTTCAGTTAATGTGGATGTCCATTGCAAAGAAAGTGATTTTAGAGATCTCAAAGCATCAAATAAGCTATGGAGCTTTGATTTGCCAATTATTCCCTTGCAATTCCAAAGACGAAGCTCCTCAAGAGATCTCATGCAACAAATGTCTTTAATTTGACGATTCTTTAGATTGAAACCGCTAAGAGAGAGACTCTGAAGTTTCTCCATACGCCCAATTGAAAAGTCTAAATTCTTGATTTGCAAGCCCAATAAATCTAAAGAAGTTAGTTGGTCTGAAGAGAATGAAAATTCCTGGAGACCATAGCAATACCTAACATCTAGTTGTGAGAGCGATTTTGATTGACTCTCTGTTTTCAAACTCTTTAGGTTCTTGCAAAACATAAGATTCACATACCTCAATCTCGGAAGAGATAAAATGGATGAATGAAGATGGCATAAACTTTCACACCCATAAAGAATAACCTCTTTAAGTGCTGTAGCTGTTGACAAATCTGGCAACTCTATCAATTTTTTAGATCCCGCAAGGTCTATATTCCTTAAATTCACCAAGTCCTGCAACAATTAAAAGGAGAAATATTAGGCAGAAAACAATAAGAGTCTTAAATTTAATCAAATTGTAAACAGAAAAAAAATTATAAAACTCAGATTTGTATGTCATACCTGCTTGCCATCCCATAGTTTTTGAAGGCAGCTACCAGGCATCCGAAGTTCAACTAGCTTCTCGGCACAAAATGACAATGGTAAAGACTTTAAAGGAAAATTGTCCCACTGAAGATGCCTTAACGAATTGGGAAATGATTCAAGCCCTGAAGGAAGATTCACAACACACGATCTTCTATGAAAGGATGAATAATAGAGTTTCAGAAGCCTTAAATTTGTTATCTTTCCAAAGGAATCAGCACTCAATTGCAATTCTGTAATTTGAGACAAATCTAAATTTATGCCTTGAATTGCGTCACTTCCCTGAACAACACAAAAGCCCAAAAGAAAATAAATAAATTGCTTTATATTAACAGTTTCTTTTCATTCGTTTTCAAATGTTTAATTAGAAAGGTAAATATTTTTCCTACTCGATTATTTTTTAGGACGTCGATGATCTCATCGGAATTCCATAGTCGACTACGTCCTCCTGGATTCTTACACTCCTTGCGAACAATTTCGAAAGCCATTGATTGAATTAAATCATGCATCCATACCGCACCATGACTAAGACTTATCAATGCCCTATCCACAAGAATTCCCAAACCAATGCTTGCGCCAAAGCCAAAGATCTCTGGTGGCATTGCTTCTACATATTGTCCAGATTGACCTTTAGAAAAACAAGCAATGTCTAAAAATATCTCCTTCACTTCGTCATCAAGTCCATCGTAGCTCAATTTTAACACTTCTTGAATATCTTCATTGGCCATCCTTCCTAATTTTCTCAACGCACTTTCCCATTGATCTACAGGTCTGGAATGTAGAAGCGAACCCAAAACGGTTAAGGCCAGTGGGATGCCTTTGGCATAAGCAAGTGCTCTTTTAACTAGTTCTTCATATTCCCTTTCATAACCATCTTTGTGGAAGGCTTTGACGTTGAAAAGCTCAAGTGAATTTCTGTAGCTCAATTCCTTGGCCTCATGTATTTTATCAACTCTTCCATGAAGCACATGCTTATCCCTACTTGTTATGATGACTTTACTACCAGGTCCCAAAGGAGGAGCTTCACTTTTCAACTCATCTAACTGCTTTGTGTTGCTAACATCATCAAGTACAATCAAAACTCTTCTACGATTGAGCCTCCCAAGAGATGTATTCTTTGATAATTCTCGAAAAAGTTCATCACGTACATATTCTAAGCCATGCTTTTCATACTTTTCCGTAAAATTCTTCAAGAAGCAGCAACTATCAAATTGAGAGCGGAGCTTGGTAAACACAGCCTTAGCCATTGTTGTTTTGCCTATCCCCCCCATCCCCCAAATCCCAATTGTTGAGCATTCTTCTAACAACGACTCAATATGATCCAAATTCTCATCAATTCCAACAATATTTTCTAATACACTTCCTGAGTATCCATGGTTTAGTTTGTTGATGACGTCATTGACAATATTTTGAATAAGTTCTGCTTCATCCCTGCTATAAAAAAAGAATTATGGAAGAAAGTATTAATGTATCAAATGAAAATTAATTAAAAATAATAATATATTAAATAAAGTGACAACTAATTGATGACGGTTTTTGTATATGATAAGATTATTATTTTTTAAAAAGCGACAAATTTCTTCATAGTTTTATCAAAATTGTGTGGATATTTTTCTTCCATGTTCAAAATTATTAAGAAGGATTCATTCAAAAATAAGAAATGTATACATAATTTACTCTATTATGAGTTATTCGTAATGACAATTAATCCAAAGAAAGGTTACGTTGAAGAGTTGAAAAATCAACTTTCATCTAATAGGGGGAAAAAGGAAAAGAGGGCAAAAGAAAAAAAATCAACTTTCAGAGCTAAAGTATCCAATTTTGAGATGACGCCATTTAAATAATGTTTTTTTTCATGTAAACCCAACAATGTAAAGAAATTAATTTTATATGTCATATACATACGAGTATTGCAATAAACATGATCCAACATTATTATTCGCTACCAGTTAATTAGTTGTCAGATAAGTTAATATGGAAAGAAAAAGCACTTTATATGAAGACCAATCACAGGAATAAATAAAAGCATGATACTCTGATTCAGATACTTGGAGTTAGAAAAGGAAGAGTGACCTGTAGTTGCAGGAGTCCCATCCTGCTACATTTGCAATCTCAAAAAGTGCTTGTCTCCACTCCTCCACCTTCTCTGGGTTTTTCTCCAAATGTTCTGCGAATGCTTTCTCATAAGCTCCCCTTTGTTTGCGTACATGAGATGGGTCGATTTCATAGAAGATAGGAACAACAATCTGTGCCTGCTGTTGTTTGCAGCGAAGGATCTGAAGGAGCTCATTCAAACACCATTTGGAGGAGGCATAGTTTTGAGAGAAGACCACCACAGAGATGGATGAATCCTGAATTGCTTCAATGAGTGATTGGGAGATGTCATTGCCTTTTGGGAGCTTATAATCAATGTATATCTCAATATCTCTGAGGCACAAGGCAGTATGGAGATGGCTGGTGAAGGATCTGCGAGTGTCCTCTCCTCTGAAACTCAGAAACACATCATATTTCCTAGAAGAAGAAGATGATGATGGGGAAGCTATGGCAAACATGGTATTATGATTACTCTCTCGGATCTCTCTCTGTCTTCTTTGCTGAGAAATGGCAAAAAAGATGGATGATGGAGTATATGGCAGCCAATTAACTTGACTTAGTTTTAAGTCTTCCAGAGCCAAATGACACGGCAACTGATACTCTTTTTTTTTTTTTTTTTTTTTACCAACGACGCTTTTTACTCTGTTCACATTGGAATACTTTTCCGATTCTTAACCCCCCTCTTTCTTTTATTTCTAGATTTGGAAAATTTGGAGATGTGAATAAACTAGATAGATTTTATAGATAATAATTTGAGGAGGATCAAACTGGAAACATCACTATTTTAACATACTTTGAGTAGTATTATTTATGACTTACAAATAGTATTGCTTACGAAGTCCAAGTCTTAGGGGAAGTTGCAAAAGGTTGTACGTAATCAAGGTCCAACAAAATGTGCGGCCTACCTTTAAAAATTGATATTGATGCTTCATGCCAATTGCTCTGTTACTTCTCTGCAACTTCCTGTCTTATTAACGTGGCCGGGTGGAATGATAGTTACTCCTTTCATTTTGATTCATAATTCTATTTCAAAAATTAAAGAAGTGTCCAATTTTATCATCATTTAAATTCATTTGATTATCGCCCCAAAAAAAAAAAACTCGTTTGATGTAAGTTTTAAAAAATGAATTAACATTAAATAAATATAATATAAAGAAAAGACTACAAATTCTTTTTTTAAAAAAAGGATCAAAGGCAGTACCTTGACCTTATTCACGTTTTTATTTAGATCCCAACGAAAAAAAGAAGGAAAAACAGTCAGGATATGGGATATTCTCTGGCACAATCAATCCAGTGGTAACTTTGAATCAAAGTTCAATTGCTGAGCTTTCCATGCAACTCTCACCAACTAACTGTAGGGTCATAGTTTTTAGTCACTTCAACCCTTAATATACGAGTTATTTTATTAATTTAATTAGAGAGAAAATCAAATAAATTAGTTAATTATGACAAATATGATATGATATTCCTAAAATATTTTTATATAAGGGAGAATTAGAGAGAAGACCAATGGGGAGGGATGTGTATGAGAGAGGATCATAAAAATTAAAATTATTTTAAAGGACCAAATATTCAAATATGAAATTTAAAATACCATATTGTCCCTATCTGAACCTCCTATATTTTATTTTTAAAGCTAACATGAATTAATAAAATTTGCTAAATTAATTTATTTTACAAAAAATTGTTTTTAGGGATATATCCCCTTGTTGTAATTCGTTTAAGTGAAATACAATCTCTTTTATATTTGTTAATTTTTTATATCTTATATTTTATTTATATTAATATATCATATAATTAGGTGGGAACTTACAAAATTATAATAATTCTCTAAATTCTTTAAATTTCTTATCATTATATGAATTTTTTATTTTAAATCTGACGTAAATTTCTTATAAAATAAAAAATTAATTATACAAACTTTGTTACTTTTTAAAATTGTTTATATAATAAATTATATAATAATATAAATTTTAATAAAATTAGATAGCTTTTATTTTCAATCACAACCTATGATGGTTTTGAAAATAAAATTTTACTCTTTATAAAGAAAATAAAAATTTAATTTTCACGTCACTAACCAATTTCTGCATTTTTTTAATTGATTTTTGCATATATTGTAAACTTTAAGAGAAACCAGGTTTAATTTAGTAAAATTTATTAATTTGTACTAGTTTTAAAAATAAAATATAGGAGGGAATATAGGAGAAATAGGAGGTTTGGAAATGGACAATATAGTATTTTTAGATTGATATTGGAATATTTGGTCCTTTTAAATAATTTTAATTTTTATCATCCTCTCTCATAAATATCACTCCCTATTGGTCCTTTTTCTAATTCTCCCTTTATATAATATTAGATTATATCAATTTATAAGTTAGATAAATTAGTTCAGAAAAAATAATAAATATGATAGACAAAGTAGATTAAGTTTTTAGATCTAAGATCAAATTTAAGATTTTACATCTAAAATCAAATCTAACTCCCAAGTAGTTCTTTGATCAGAAATGGTGGAGTAATTGTTAGTGATAATTGGGTCAACTGTGTTTGAAAGTGTGTTAAATAATACCACTTCCGGTTCTTAATATAAAAACTAATTGATTAATTTGAATAGATTAAAAAAACTAGTTAAGTTAGTTATTTGTAATAAATAGGTATTATCTTTTCTAAAATATCCTTACTAATCAAGTGTATTAGTTAGAAATATTATTAACACGAAGACTACCTTGAAAAAAAAAGATAAATATGAGAGACAAAGTAAATTGGAGTCATCATAATCAGAATTAAAGTCAAGCCAGCTATTAAATAACGGAGATAGTAGGTTCTAATATTTGTTATTTTTTGGACCAAATTAATACGTATTATTTAGAAGTCAAGTGTTTGGTAGAATTGCGTGCATTGGCTTCCATGTGGAACTGGTCCATATCCTCACTCGAAAAATTGTGCACAGATGGAAAAATAATATTAAAAGAAAAAACTTTGAAGAAGCAGCAAATTTTTTTGACAATTCCAGAAGTTTTGTGCTCATAATATTCTCTTCCCTTATTTTCCTCTCACTTTTTCCTCCATCCAAACTAACCCCGTCATTATTATATTAGATCAGGCAGGGACACACACTATACAAGGATATAGGATAGGAACTTGTACGAAGTTGTAAACACCTTCAAACCATTTTGGTTTTACTCTAAATAGAAAATTAAAGTGTTTTTTTAATTATCAGCAATCATGAAAATAAGACAGTTTTTTCAAGAGAAAATTACTCTTAATTCGCATATATTAAATGTACATAAATCCTATGTATTGCAGGTTTGCAAACTCAAATATTTTTTTTTTAAAAAGCATATTCAAAAACTTTAATCTAAAAGTCACTTTGGCCAAATTTTTCATTGATATGGAGTTTATAAAATCATCATTTCCCGTGTAATGGACTTACTCAGCTGATGAAAAAACAATCCAAAGTTTACTTCCTCATAAAAAATAGAAACACCGACTGATCATCTACAAGAATGTTTAACATCCGCTTAGAGTTTAAAAAAATAATACTATCTCTTGTTTCAAATATAAAAGATAGGTAATTAATTTAAAAATATTAAACTATCCTATTTAATCATATATTGAAACTATCCTTAATGAAAATCCTTTATCATCAACAGAAATATTTTGGAGAAAAACTATAAATTTGAAAAACAAAATGGATTAAGATTTTACATTTAAGATCAAACAAAAGAGATATAATAATTTAATGATGATTTTCGGTAATATTGTATAGAAAATATACCCTAAAATTATTATTTTCCAATTTTGAGACCTAACGCTTCAAAATGAAAGTAAACCCAAATTAAAATTTTAAAATTTAAGAAAAATAACAAAAATACCCTTTTGTAAATAACAATTCATCTAGAAATAGCAAGTCCTTATTGTAAAATAACAAGTTTTGGATTAGAATTAACATGTTTGTCCCTAATAAATAACATGTGAATTAATTACAAATAATAATAATTCATCTAGGAATAATAAGTCCTGCTTTTGAAATTACAAGTCTCAATGTAGGATTAACAACATATTTTTTCCCTAGCACATAACATGTGAATCAATTAATAATAATAACAATTTATCTGAAAATAACAAGTCTTAATTATAAAATTATAAGTCTCGATTTGAGGATGGTACCTTCAATTGTAGGGTCCTTTGCGTCTAAATGCGTGTTGCTTTTTGGCTTGCGGATGGTTTGTACCTAAAAAAATGATGTCGGCGCTTCATGTCAATCGCCCTGTTAATTCTCGGCAACTTCCACCGACTTAAGGGTGTGTTTGGATGAAACCAAACCGTGGTTTGGAAAAGTGATTCTGGAGAATAGATTCTGGGAAGAATAGATTCTGTGAAGAATAGATTTTGTAAAAAAGTGATTTTGAGAAGTGAGTGTGTTTGGATAGTTATTATCAGAAGCACTTTTTATATATACAAATTACTAAAAAAAAAGACATAAGTTAATATGATAATTACAGAAAAAATAAATTTTATGATATATTTTAATTTGAAGGAATAAAATTGTTAATAATATATTTTTTTACCAACATAATTAATAATACATAAGATAATATAATTAATAAATAATTAATGTGTATATATATTTATAAAATATAAGATTAAATATGTTTATCAAAAAATATGTTTATAAAAAAAATAACAAGATACATATCATATAGGCTCTCACACTCTCCATTTTTTCTCCAAAAGCAAAATTTTTTTGCTTTTTCCAAAACCATGGTTTTGGAGTCAAAACCATAGTTTTGACCCAAAACCATGGTTTTGGTTTTTAGAGGGGGTGTTTGGGTGATTGACATCCCAAACCATGGTTTGGGTCCCCAAACCATGGTTTGGGTCCCCAAACCATGGTTTGGGGTGTCACCCAAACACACCCTTAACGTAGCCAAGTGGGACGTTTCCTCAAAATTCAATTGCTCTCAACTTCCACCCGTGGATGCTAGGGTCATTACTCATTATTTTTAGTAACTTATATTTTTTTAATATAATCATATAATATAAAAACTATTTAACTAATTTAAACATATTAAAAAATTAAATAAATTACTTAATTACAATAAATATAACATAATCTCCCTAAAATATTTTTATAGAGTATTAGATTATGTATTTATTTACAGTATAAATAAATTAGTCTGAAAAAATGATAAATATAATAAACAAATTAAGATTTTATATTTAAAACTAAATCTAACCCTCAACTAGTTTTTATATTAAGAATTCAAGAGTAATTATTAGTGATGATATGCTAAATTTTGTTTGAAAGTAAGTTAATTGATGGGTTGTCATATTTGTTATTTTTTGGACCAAATTAAAATATATTATTTAGAACTCAAGTCTTTGACAGAATTGCATGCACTGGCCTTCATATTAAATGATCCTTAAAACTTTAGCTTAGTTTGGATGGGAAGGAAAATAAAAAGAAAATAATATTACAAAGGGAAATACAAAACAAAAAGAAAGAAATTTTATAATTATTTTTAGAAGCTTTTTTCATACTATTTTCTCCCCTTATTTTATTTTTTAACCATTTTTTCCTCCATCCAAACCAAGCCTGTGTTATATTAGACCAGATAACATACACGATACAAGGACATAGGAAGTTGTGGGAAGCTGAAATCTCTTTGGAACCATTTTGGGTTTACTCTAAGTAGAAAAATTAAGGTTTTCTTCTAATTAGAAAATTAAAGTGTTCTTCTAATTATCAGCAATCCTTAAAAGAACAGATTTTTTTTAAAACTCTTAAATTTACATAAATGCTATGTATAGAAAGTTTAATTTGCAAACTCATTTTTTTGCCTTGAAGTGTATTTGGATGCTACTTGTACCGTAACAAAACAAATTGGAATATGTAAGAGCCCTGTTGCCAGATTAAAATGCATGAGGGTTGAGAACCAATACACAGAGCAATAATGCAAAAGCCTCACCAACACCGACCGATCATCGACAAGAATAATTACCCCAATTACTACGATATGACAAGTTGCCTTGTGCCCCATATTTGAAAAAAAAAACTGAAAAATTCTTATCTTACAAAAATGATTAGATCAGAGAGAGTACATTGAACTTGAAGCTCATAATCGCTAAAAATAATGCTGAAGATGTGAAAAATGCGGTTTCATTCGTAAAGGAACCTCTGTAAATTCGAATTGATGATGATGATGGCGTGATGGTTGGTCCAGTTTAATAGTTCATGTCTATTGATAAAATGTAAAAGTAAAACAGTCAGGAAAACTTCCGTGAATTTTTCGATCTCAATCACACCCTTTTATTTTTGGCCTTTTCTCAATCTTATTTCGGATTTTATATATAATGACCTACTGTGTAATTTATTTGTTTGTTTTTGCCCATCACTTTCGTTCAATTTAACAATAAATGGATTTGGCCGTTTGGATGCTAAATGGATTGATAAATATCAAGAACTTATGGTTTATTAGACCCTCCTACATCTTATTTAAATTGAAGGAGTAATTTTAATTCTAAATGTGAAAATTCAATCTATTTTATCTTTTAAATTTATGATTTCTTTTATACTAATCACTATTATAGTACGCCTTGAAGGGATTTCTATTAATGTGGTAGCTTTCAATACAATTATTAAACGAGTATTTAGGTACGTCAATATTTTTTTAAAATAATAAATTTAATGTCATAAATTAGTTATATAACTCCTATATTTAAAATTGGAAGGAGTATATGTTTTTTTTTTTGGGGCAATTTAATTATGAAGTCAAGTCTTTGGGAGAACTACATTTTCACGTGAAAGCTTCTACGTAACTAAGGTCCAACAAAATGTGTGGCCTATGCTGAAGATATGATGTTGATGATCATTTCATATACCTGTCGGTTTGAAGGAATTATAATTACTCGGTTACTTCCCTGCGACTTTCACCAGCTAATGGTATGGTCAGAGTTTTAGTTGTTAGAGATAATGGTAGGGTCAATTGTGTTTGAAAGCGTGTTAAATGATACTTCTCCGGTCCTTAATATAAAACCTAATTGTTGAGTCAATTTTAATTCTAAATATAAAACCTATTTATCATATTTATCAATTTTTCTTACATTACCCCTAGGTACTTCTTTAACCATAATCAAGTAGAAGAGGGAGGCGGAATATTAAAAAAGATGATTATGGTGTTTTAAGAAAAATATATTATATTTCTTATAATTAACTAACTTACCTAACTTCTTTAACCTAATCAAATTAGTTAAATATATCTTATATTAAGGACTGAAAAACTAAATTTTAATTAATATCTGTTACTTTTTGAACCAAAACAATATTTGCTATTTAGAACTCAAGTCTTCGACAGAATTGCATTGTCGGTTCCCTAATAAAGTGGTGCATATCCTCGTTGGAAAAGTTGTGCATAGAGACCCTTCATGTACTATTGGATCACGTAATTGGGCTAATGGTATGCAAACTTATGGGAAGTTGGAAGCTCCTTAAAACCATTTCGGGTTTACCTTAAATAGAAAATTCAAGTGTGCGCTTTTAATTACCAGCAATACCGAAAACAAGACAGTTTTAACTAACAAATCTTAATTCACATAAATGTCATGTATTACATGCTTGAAAATTGCATTTTTTGTTCTTGAAGTATATTCCGATGCTACATGTACTGTAACAAATTGGAACATGTAAGCAACCATATTTTGCCAGACTAAAATGCGTAAGGTTTGAGAACTGATACACAGACTAATAATGAAATAGCCCCACCAACAATAACTGATCGTCTACAAGAATATAATTACCACAATTACCATAATGTGGCAAATTGGCTTGTGCAAGTTATGGCACTTTTCCTTCATACTCTGTTTTCAAGTATCTACTCTGTTCTCATCTACAAACATCAACATGGGAATCAGAGTCAGTTCAATGATATTCAACGACTTTTATCTAAAATTCAATCCGAAGGAGAGATAGCCCTTGCTTTGTTTTTCTTTGCTCTCTTTTTATCTACAAACACAAACAGGCTCTTTTGTTGAAAGCAACTTTTATTATATATTCACCTGCAAAAATTTTCCTTGATATGTTGCTTATAAGATTATCATTTTTCAGGAATCAAATTACGGAACTGATTTTAAAAAAACCCAATCAGTTAATATAAACACTGATCCTTCAATTTTTTTTATTTTGATTTTGGTCCATCAATTTTTTTTATTTAAAATATTAGTCCTTATAATCCAATGAAAACTTGGATCATTGTGTTCCTTAAGGGACCAAAACTTATGATTTGAAATTTGAAGGATCAAAACTAAAATGAAAGCAAACTTGAGGGCCTAAAAATTATGTTAACCCAACTATAAATAAAGAAGTTTTTTTAAGTTACCAACATGCATTAGTCTTAATAGAAGAAATTTTAACTGCTTACATGCAAGGTTTTGAGTTTAAATTCATGTTTAGAGAGAATTTGCTCTGTATCACTGGGGAAAAAAAGAAGAAGAGATTATTCTCATTAGACACGTGCTTAATATTAACCATGAGTGCAATAATTATTACAAAAAAGAATATCAAATAGTCATTTTTTTTAAAAAAATCTAGAACCTATATAGTTGACAATCGTTAGCATGTAATCATTGTCGATGCAGCTAGGAGAGTATCATGGTCAAGTATGAATATATGCTCTTAATTTGCTAATTTAAGGAGGAGGTAATACCTATTCAATCATTATGCCCTTGCGTTTTCGGGAATTCAAGTTGAACTCCACCGATTTCCCTTGGTGATCAACATTGTAATATTCTGAGGCATATATGGGGTAGACTCCACACTCTTTGGCGAGAATACCAGCACTAACAAGTCCGATACCAAATTTGAACAAAAGATTTTGGTCATAAGTGGTGGTTTCATGATTTCTTCTATTCCCTTCAATTTTCTCGAGTACCAATTCTGATAGTTCTGGATTCGAACACAGGAGAACATTTGCAGGACCGAATTTCATGGTTAGTGGAAATCCAAATTTGCCAGTCATTCTAGTCATTTCATCCAATTTAAAGCCGAAGAAAATTTCAGAGTCTATAGGCTTTTTCAGTAGGAAAGAGTTAGGAAGGGCGGCGCAAAAAACAAAACCCGCTAAATTGTGAGAGGGTGGAGGAAGTTCGACGATGCACGAATCGTTTTGGGTCCTATTATTCCCAAACCACTCCGGAACCTTCTCCCCCGGGTAACAAACTGCAACATCATTCTTCTCATGAACCTGCTTTCTCTAACAACAACATGGCTTGTTCTTTAATGGCGCCCAGATCTAAGTTCACACAGTTGATGAATGAAAAGATTTTTTCACCATAATTCTCAGGTGTGCTTGAAATCGTTGAAGCAGACACCGTCTCCAGTGTTATGCAGTTTGTGGCAATCAACTTTCTAAGGGATGGAGGAAGTTTTGGTAAACGCCGCAGCCTGATGCAGCCTTCTATGGAGAGATATTGTAGCTCAGAAAGGTGCCGAATATTGTTGGGGAGTTCAATTAGGCTGGGCCACTCCTGCAAAGACAGCACTTCTAAAGATGGCAATGCATCAAATGGAACTGCCAGCTCCGCGTCTCTCACTCTCTGCCTGAAATTTTGAATACGAAGCTCCACGAGTTTAAAATAACAAAGCAGGGTCCGTGGAAGATGCCAAAGACTTGAAGCATTGAGCAGGAGACGATTGAGATTGCTAAGGTGATGAACTAAGGAAAGGGCGAACGAGAGTGCTGTGCAATCAGTGGCATCTAATAATTTAAGGGAGGGGGGAAGCTCTGGCAAATATTTAAGATTCCTACAACCAGTTAAATAAAGCTCTTGCAGACTCGAGAGGTGTTTGATGTTATCTGGGAGTTCAGTTAAGTCACAGCACATCTCGAGAGTCAGTGACTGGAGACTACGTAAGCCATCAAATAGCACACGTAGGTCGACATTGTCAATCTTCTGCCGGGAAACACGGAGTACATCCAGAGATGTAAAGCAACTTAATACCTTTATATTCTTCAATTTTGTATCACCGAGATTGAGTCTTCTGAGCTTTGAACAACGCCCAATTGATGGGCTCAATTCTTCTATTCCACTTCCATCTAAATCTAAGGATGTTAGCTCTGATGATGACATTGAAAACTCCTTAAGACTGCGGCAGCTACTTATATTGACTTCTTTGAGAGATTTTAGATGAATCATGCTATGGAGACTCTCAAGACGACTGCAGCCGCTTACATCCAAATAAATGAGACTGTGCAGGGATAGGAGAGATGGATGCACTTGAGGCAAACACCAACAAAATCTTAGATCTGCGCTTTCAAGACGATGAGCCTTGGAAAAATCGGGCAACTTCATCAGCATAAAACAACCACGAAGTTTTACTCTTCTTAAATTCGCTAAATCCTGGAAACCATTAGGAAATATTAAAAAACAAATAAATAGAGGCATTACATTGGAAATCAAAGATCTCAAATATTGATTAATATTTAAAACTAAAAATGACATATAATAACTGTACTCCGTCCCAAAGTGTTACAACCGGGCTGTCTTCCTAGTTAAGTTCAAGAAGAAGCTCGGCATGAAAATTTGATGGCAAGAACGGCCACGGGTATCCAACGCAGTGAAAGTACCTTATTTTGGCAGAAATTGACTCAAGACCTGCTTGAATAATCAAGGGAAAGGGCCTAGACCTACCAGGATTAAATTTGAGAAATTTTATTCTCGACATTTTATTAAAGGTCTTAGCAGTCAAATCCAAAGTTCTATTGATCTCATTTATATTGAACATTATGCCTTCAACCTCTTTTTCTCCCTGAAAATTACAAAGTTTAGACTTTAGAGAAATAGTAAGAAAAATAAAGAACATTTTCTGGGATCGGTGACAAATAACGTTTTCTTAGAGTGAGAGAGAAGAAGGTCATCATATTCTTACCTCACAATTTTTCAATACATCATAGATTTCGCTAGGATCCCATAATCTACTCCTTTTTCCAGGTTCATTGACATTCTCTTCACGAACAATTTGCAGACCCATTTCCTGTATTAAGTTATGCATCTCAACCTTCCCATTGTTCTTGAGAATTAAAGCCTTATCTATAAGGGTTTGGATGCCAACAGTTGGATGGAATTCATAGCTCTTTAATAGCTCTTCTACAAATCCTTCACTTTCACCCTTTAAGAAACATGCAATGTCTAGAAAAGTTTGCTTCTCTTCATAGGCTAACCCATCATAACTCAATCTTTACACCTCTTGAATTTTGTCATTTGGACAACCTACTTGTAGTTTTCTCAACAAACCATCCCATAATTTTTTATCTTCAGAGTGAACATATGAACCCAAAACTTTTAAAGCCAAGGGATTGTGTCGAGTATAATCTATAAATCCTTTTATGAGCTGTTCATATCCATGTTCTAGATGGTCTGATCCAAAGGCCTTGCAGATGAAAAGTTGACGCGAATTTTGATAACTTAATCCCTTGGCCACATGAATTTCATAACCTTTTCCCCTAAGCAATTTCCTATTTCTTGTTGTTATAATAACTTTACTACCTTCTGCTAAGAAATTGCATATGTTATCCTGCAAACCCTCTAATTAGTCAGAACGATCAACATCATCAAGCACAACAAAATCTTTTTTCCTACCGAGCCTTCTAGCAACAAAGGCATTTCTTAAACCATTTGATGGGTTACTTGGCATATCTTGCCCTAGCAGCTCCGAGACAAGAGAGCTACAAACACGTTCCAATCCTTTTTTTTTTGTTTTTTCCCTAATGTTTTCCAAGAAGCAGCAAGAGTCATACTGAGAAGATAATTTGGCAAATACAGCATTTGCCATTGTGGTCTTACCCACACCGCCCATCCCCCAAATTCCAACTCTGAGATTTTTCCAATAACTCTTCAATGGGTTTGATCATTTCATCCATTCGAATCACATCTCTTAATGTTTGTCGACAATTATGTATTTGTTCCAGTTTTGTGCTGACATCAGTGACAATTTCTTGAATTAAATTGGATTCATCCCTATTGAACAAAGCAAAAAAACAAATAAACAGAGTAAACCATCAATTTTACATAGCAAGCTGCCACTTTGGGTGGGATACCCGAGCAATACTTACATTTTGGATGAATCATTTTGATCAGGGAATACTTACGTGAAGTCTTGGCAGTGCCTGCCTCTTAAAGAGCCAGCTTCAGAAAGAGCTGCTTTCCACTTGTTCACCCTTTCTGGGTCATGCATGAAATCTTTCTCATGTTGTTAGCTCCGGTCTGCTTTCGAATATGTGAGGGGTCAACTATGTAGAAGATGGGTATAATAAACTGGCCCTCATCCTTTATGCACTGCATGATTTGGGCGAGTTCATCCAGGCACCATCTTGAGGAAGCGTAGTCTTTTGAGAAGACTATGATAGATACACTGGAATCCTTGATTGCTTGGATGAGTGATGGCGCGATTTCATCACCTTTCTCAATCTGCTTATCATCACGAAAGGACAAAAGGAATTCTCGGTTGAGAGCAGCATGAAGATGGCTGTTGAAGTTGTTGCGGGTTTCGCCTCTAAAACTCATAAACACATCATACTTTTTTGGAGCATTCGGCCTAGAGCCAGAGCTTGAGGAAGCAGAAACCATTGCAGTTTGTTTCAAGGTGCAGGAAGAATAGTTTACACACTCTCTCTGCCACCCCTTCAATAGACTTGAAGCCTCAACTCTTAGGGGATTCTAATTACTCTCTGGAGTTCTCTCTGTCTTCCTTGTTGAGAAATGGCAAAAGTGATGATAGAGTATATGGCAGCCAATAGACTTGACTCGGTCTTGAAGTCTTCTGAACCAAATGACACGGCAAGTCGGCAACTGATACTTTTTTCTCTTTGTTTTTTTTCCCAATGATACTTTTTACTCTTCTCGCGTTGGAATGCAACTCCGACCCCCCCCCCCCAAATTTTACAGATAATTTGGACATCACTGTTTTAAAATACTTTGATTAGTATTATTTATGACTTACAAATAGTAATGCTTATGAAGTCTAAGTCTTTGGGGAAACTGCAAAAAGGTTGTACGTAATTAAGGTCCAACAAAATGTGTGGCCTACCTGTAAAAGTTGGTATTGATGCTCCATGCCAATTGCCCTATTACTTCTCTGCAACTTCTTGTCTTATTAACATGGTTGGGTGGAATAATAATTACTCCTTTCATTTTGATTCATAATTCTATTTCAAACATTAAAGACGTGTCCAATTTTATCATTATTTAAAGTCATTTGATGTAACTTTTAAAAAAATGAATTAACATTAAATAAATATAATATAAAGAAAAGACAACAAATTCTTATTTTTTAAAAAGGATCAGAGGCAGTATCTTGACCTTATTCACGTTTTCATTTAGATCCCAAAACAAAAAACAAAAAACAGAGTCAGGATATGGGATATTCCCTGGCAGAATCAATCTAGTGGTAACTTTGAATCAAAGTTCAATTGCTGACCTTTCCATGCAACTCTCGCCAGCTAACGGTAGGGTCATAGTTGTAAGTTCCTCCTGTACTTTATGCAAGAGTTATTTTATTAATTTAAGTAGAGAAAAAAATCAAATAAATTAGTTGATTATAACAAATATGATATGATCTTCCTAAAATATCTTTATATAATATTAGATTATATATCAGTTTATAAGTTAAATAAATTAGTTTAAAAATAATAATAAATATAATAGAGAAAGTGGACTAAGATTTTATATTTAGAATCAAATTTAAAATTTTACATTTAAAATCAAATCTAATTCCTAATTAGTTCTTGTATCAGGAATAGGGGAGTAATTGTTAGCGATAATTAATAGGTTCTAATATTTGTTATTTTTTGGACCAAATTAATATCTATTATTTAGAAGTCAAGTCTTCGGTAGAATTGCAGGCATTGGCTTCCATGCGAAACTGGTCCATATTCTCACTCGAAAAGTTGTGCATGGAGGGAAAAATAATACTAAAAGAAAAAACTTTAAAAAAATAGCAAATGTTTTTATTTTATTCATAGTATTCTCTCCCCTGTTTTCCTCTCACTTTTAACTCCATCTAAACTAAGGCTTCATTGTTATATTAGGCCAGGCAGAGACACACACTATACAAGGATATAGGAACTTGTAAGAAGTTGGAAACACCTTCAAACCATTTTGAGTTTACACTAAGTAAAAAATTTAAAGCGTTTTTCTAATTATCAGTAGTAATGAAAACAAGACAGTTTTTTAAGGGGAAAAAGTCTTAATTCGCACATATTAAATATACATAAATGCTATGTATTGCAGGTTTGCAAACTCAATCTTTTTCCCCAAAGTATATTTGATGCTACATGTACAGTAACAAATTGGAATATGTAAGAGACTTTGTTGCCAAATTAAAATGCATAAGGTTTAAGAACTGATACACAGAATAATAATGCAAAATTCCCACCAACACCGATGGATAATCTGCAAAGTTGGGTTGGGCAAGTAATGGCACATTTCGATCATGCTCTGTTTTCAAGTCTTCATTTAGTTTTCATTTATAAACATCAATATACCAATCAAAATCAATTTAATTATATTCAAAACTTTAATCTAAAACTCACTTTGAAGGAGCAAGAGCTCACGCTCTGTTTTCTTTACTCTGCTTTTATCTGCAGACACCAACATTCTCACCCATTAAAAGCAACTTATCTTGTTCACCTGCCAAAATTTTCATCGATATGAAGTTTGTAAAATCATCATTTCCCCTGTAATAAAATTACTCAACTGATCGAAAAAACTCAAAGTTCACTTCCTTATAACAAATAGAGACACCAAATGATCCTCTACAAGAATAATTACAACATCCGCTTGGAGTTTAAAAAAAACAATGGGCCCATTTTTTTACCTATTCTGAAAACAATTTTTTGTTTTTAAAAATAAAAAAATAAAAAAAAATGTTTGGGAACTTGTTTTTAAAGAAGTGTTTTTAAAAACAAAAAAAACAATTATTTGTTTTTAAAAACTAAAAACACAACAATTTTAAGATGTTTTCTGATTTTGTTTTCCATTTTGAAAAACCCGAGAAACTTTTCCCTGACTTCTCTGCTCGCTCGACGGCTCCCTTAGAGAGGGTTGGAGTGCCAACCGATGCTTCAGCCTTGTGCTCGCCGTCTCCTCATCCTCTGGTTTCATTCCTCGGTGTTCGCTGTCTTCTCCACTCGGTGCTCGCAGTCTTCTCCGCTTGGTGCTTGTCGTCTCCAGTCTCCCCTTCCTCTCTGCTCGGTCCTAAATCGGTGAGTCCTCAGCCTCTACTCTCTCTCTCTCTCTCTCTATCTGATTAATTTAATGGGTTTTAGTTCTAAAACTTGATGTGTATCATTTAATGGATTTTTGTGTATAGGATTTGTTTTGGTTGCTTGCTGTAACCCTCATTGTTTCATGCCACTCTAATGCTGAGTACTCCGAATAGAGCAAAAATGGGTAATGCGGACAATCCAATAGTTCGATCATCACGAGACAATGACATTTTGACCTAACTTCTTTCCTTCTTTTGAACCATTGTTTCATACCTATTGCTCTTTCTTTAGAGCATATTTCCAAGTTATCTCACCAAGGCCTTTTTGTACAAGTAAGACTAAGTGAAGCTTATGATGAGCATTTAGCTGTGAAAAAAGTACAGAAAGGGTTCTCAAATATTCTTATTTTTACTGCTCATCAGGCAGATATTTTCACAGGGGGCCGAGATTAGCGAGGAGGAAAGAGTGGAAATAGAGGATGAGTTAGTAATTAATGAATAATCATGTCTGGGAAAAGCTAGTGAGGATGAAGAGCTCTATTAATAACTCCTGCAAGTTAAAGTGTATCATGGGTTTGGAGATAGTGAAGTTTTAGTTCCTCTTCTATATATTTATTACCAGCTAGAGTCAATGATGATTAATACCACATCTGTTATACTTAGAAAAGTGATTTTGTTAATCTTCTGCATTTAGCTCTTCCCACACTATGCTGGCAACTGACGCTAGAAGCCAATCGATTCGCTAATAAAGTGTGAAGATTTAAGGCAGAGTTTAAGCCCAAGTTTAGTAATTTTTAATTATTTTACTGTTCAGCGAATTATGTATATAAATATTATGCAGTATGCTATTGAAATGTGTGTGATTTCATTAATGGGGCTACATAATTACAAGAACATGGAGTTGATTCAGTATTTAGACTATTGTATTGTTGTTTTTAATAAAGCCCATTGAACTATTAGGATTTCTAATAAGTTACAGGCTATTCAAATTGGAAGCAGATAAATTTTAACAATAATAACGTTGGTTTCAGTTTCTTTACCCTTCTTTATGGTTTTTTTTCAATTAACATGTGAACTTATTAAAGATAAGTACTCTATATAGTAGCATTTGATTCTACATTTCTATGATAAGTTTGAGTTTCATCTCATTAGGCTCAGAATTTCTGCACTAAATTCAATTGAAGGGTTTGGGGTTCTTGGTCCACTTGATTCGGTTTTGAGCCAAGCTACTCAGGCTTTGTTTGGATCCACAGTTGAAACAACTTTAACCAGCTCATAAGCCTATAAGTATGTTTGCATGAGGCTGCACAATGTCTATTTTGTAGGTACATCCTGAGGCTGCACAATTCAAGAAGCATGGCCTAGAGCATTATAAATTGTTAGGCATACTTTTTAACAAAAGCACTGCAACAGGTGTATTTCATTATGCATCTATACAAGATCCACCAAATTCCGATGATGAGGTTCAACTTGAGAATGAGTATCTTCACTCTAGAGTCCATGTAAACCTTGATAAGGATGAAGATGACGTTGCCCTAGACGTAGTTGAGCACGTTACGCATAGTGGA